ACGTGTGCGACCCAGATCATGTATCCCTCATACAGATATTCAGGTTCAGTCAGACTTGTCGTACGAGGAGCGACCGGTAGCTGTACTAGACCGTCAGGTCCGTCGGCTCCGGAAGCGAGATATTCCCCTCGTGCGCCTTCAGTGGGATCGCCACGGAGTTACCTGGGAGGAAGAGTCGGACATCCGCGCTCGTTTTCCAGATTTCCAGTTCTGAAGTACATATTCTTTATCTTATGTACAAAGTTCATGTATAGTAGTCATGTTTTGAATTTCCGAGGACGGAAATTTTGTAAGGAGGGAGGATTGTAATATCCCGATATTTTAATCGGTGTAAGTTACGTTTAATCCCGATTTAATAATGTTATTGGTTATTATTTTCAGAATTAATTAAGTTCAGTCGGAATTACCGAAATTGATTTTCGACGTACCGTTTACGTTCGGAATAAATTTTGGTAATTAAGTACTATGTTTAATTAATAATTAAACATCAAGATTAGGGTTAATTAAAAATTAACCCTAATAAGACGTTTAAGGGCGATGAGCATTAAGTGTTAATTCTTCCCAATATTATGTGCAAACCGAAGCTTTCTTTCAACAAAGGGAACAATTTATTCTCCTCAAATTAGCATAACACGTGGCATTGCAAGAGTGTAGTAAGTCATCACTTGAATTTTAAGGATTGAACAAGTGTTAGAAGCCAAAAAGGCCACATCACAATAGCATCATCCCCATTTTAGCGTGCGGATATATAAGGGGGGAGAATGGACAAATTTTCTCCATTTTTCCTTAAGGAAATCCGATCAGAATATCCCACTTAAATATACTCCTCAGCAACCAGTTTAAGTTCAAGTAAATTTCCCCATTTTCCAATTCAATCGCACGGCCAAAAGGGGAGGCTACCGCACGGCGCACGCAAGCAAGGAAAAAGCCACGTTTATTCCGTTTTTCGTCGAGCGATTGAAGAGGTACTGCTCTCCTCAGCCCCTATTCTTGATGATTAGGTCATTTTAGAGATAAGTGTTCGGTTAATTGTCGGA